CCCAAAACCCCAAAACCCCAAAACCCCAAAACCCCATCTTTCAGGAAAGAAATTGACCGTTTAGAAAAGATCTTTTACTGCTTCATGGATCTTCTTGAGTGCGGGTTTCGATGATTCCTTAATCTCAAAAATTTCATTTTGATATATTTCTTCAAGATTTTCATCGATATTTTCTTCAGTGACAATGCAGTGAGTTTGAGCATAAGCACAATGGGTTGAAGGATCAGGGTTGATCCTGATGAGAGTTCTTGGGCCAGAGGTATCACTGAAAATAGCCTCACTTCTTGCTCTAATAGTAGGAATGACAGTTCCAGCTCCTATTTCAATTATGGTAATTCCATCTTTGGAGTTTTCAGATATGAATTTTTTATAATTCTCCTCTTGTTTGGTAGTCCTGCATGCAATCCAGTCTGAGTCATTGAACATCAGGACGTTAGGTCTGACAGGTTCTGATCAGTAGGTGCATTTTGGAGGTTTATTTACAAGTGAAATTCTTGATATTCAGCTCAAATCTTGCCCTGTGCGGTACGAGATATATTATCCTACAGCTATCACACTGGAAATGATTAATACTCCCATTGCACTCAGTAATCTTCCTTTGGCTGAACCCTGCTTTTTGAAAGTGGCCGTCTACATTACTTGTGTACACATGGTATTTGTTGCCCAAGTATTTCTCACAGATTTCTAGTAATGCTGAATATCCTGAATGAGGCAAATGATCTTGATATAAATTATACCTATGCCCATAGAAAAACCAAAACTCCTTCAGCTTTGTTTTGAAAAACCTCGGATTAGCTGCATCCATGAAGGTCATGTTAGTGTTCTTGAAGTAAGGATATGCTTCCCAGAGACCTTCTTTGATTCTGAAATCTGGAAGACCTGAGTCGATGCTGATCCCTGCTCCAGCAGTGACTAGGATTGCCTTGCTCCTTGCTACCGATCGGGCTACTCGTTTGTACAGTAGTGAGCTCGGGTCCATAATTTCTTTCAATTTAATTAGAAGTTTTGGGGTTTTGGGGTTTTGGGGTTTTGGGGTTTTGGGG